AAAAAAACTACATTGGTAACATCTCACCATTTTGGTTTTTAAAGTTACTCAGACAATCCTGCTTATCATTAACACTATGAATGAGTAAACAATGAAATAAAATGAACTCTAACGTGATAAACAAATCACAAGTAAATAAATTTTTCACTCACAAGGACCAAAAATGAACCTCATCTATTGTACAGCAACTCGAATTCGAGATTTCAATTTTTTGAATTTTTGGAAAGAAGAAGAAAGGAAGAGAGAAGACGAAGACGAAGAAGAAGAGTAATAGAAGAATGGTAGATTGAGTGAAAAAATGGAGAAATTTGACTACCCCATACTTCATTCCAATGGCCCAACATGATATTAAAAAAAAAAAAAAAGAAAGAGTAAAGGACGATACAAATTTGCGATAGGCGTCCTGTCAATGCTTTCGCTCTTTTTTATATGCAGGAAATATAGAGGGAGAGCTTTTGATTTCTATCCAACATTAGATTTTATAATAATTCCTTTACAAATAAAAATTATAAATTCAATTCTATTTTTCTTTAACCTTCTTCATCCCGACTTTATTTTTCAATATAAGAGTATCAATCATAACAACTATAGTAAAAAAAAATATTCATTCAATGACAATTATTTTAACTATCGCAATGTCAATTTTACATATTCATTCCCCGAAGTAATTGTATGTGATAGTTTTTTGGGAAGATTACATAATACCGTGTTTAAACATCACAATTTAAAACTCAGGGATGAAGTTTCATTATGCATAAATCAGGTATCAATTTAATAATTAAATATTAAATATATCTACCCACCGCCCAAACCTTAGGTATTAAATCATAGCTTCCTTCTCTCTCTATATGTCTCTCCCTTTTTCTCTTCTTTGTCATTGATCACCTTCGTCTTTGGTGTCGTACCTTCTCTCTTTGCTCTCTGGCCGTCAAGTCACCACCATTTACGTCAGCAATTTCACAATAGGATATCACTGGCGATTATCACATTTAGGTCAACAATTTCAGGTGTATGAGAACGACACCACCCCTCTCTATTCACACATTTTCTCGCTTTACTCACATACTTCCTGCAATGTCCAAGCCACCACTATCGACGTTGATAATAGTAGAACAGAGGAAGGAATGCGTCGTTCTGTACGGTAGGTTGCGGTTTTATGCGTGATGAATGCGATGATACTGTGGTGATGTATGCGGTGATAGTGTGGTGATGGTGACAATGTGGATCTAGGTAGAATGACAATGGTGGTGATATAGTGACGATGCTTGTGTTGGCACTTGGTAGTAATGATTTGGGTGGTGTTGGTGAGGTTGGGAGGTAGTGTATTGTTGGGTGTGTTAGGCGGTGGTTCTGACTGTAGCTGTGGTTGTTCTTAGTGATGGAGACGTTGTAGGTTGGATACTGTTGGTGTGTTTGGTGGTGGCGATCATGGCGGTTTCTAGTGACGGTGGAGGTGGTTGTTGGTGGCTGGAAAGCTGATGGAGTCAATCGTCGTGATTTTTGTTGGCAGTTGATTGGATATAGTGGTGGTGATTATTGTTGCTAGTGATGTCGTGGTGTTGGTGTTGCTGTGTTAGTATTGGTGGCAACGGTGACGGGGTGAAGGTGGTGGAAAGCGGCGGTGGTTGAGGGTGGTGGTGGTGCGATCGCCCGCCTATGTTGTATTGAAGTGTATTGGTACGGCGTTTATGTGTTTTGTTGGTTTTTGGAGTGGTGGTGGTGCCGCGTGGTAGAGGTGGCAGTTGGGTGCCTGCTTAACTTAGTGCGGTGGCGGTTGTTGAGGTATTTTAGTTAGGTTTGTCGATTTTTGGAATGGTGGTAAATGGTAATGGCAGTGGTTGTGATAGTGTTGTGGTGGGATAGGGTAGAGTTTGTGATCAAATGTTGTGGTGGATTGGGATCAGGCATTTGGTAAAAATGTAATTCGTGACCATCAAAGTTGAAATATGTGATTTATAACCTATAATTTTTTGGATTTGTAAACTGTAACCTTAAAATTCGATCATTTGTGACTTAAAAATGTAATATGTGACAATTAAATTTGAAAATATGTGATCCGTGACCTATAATTTTTTGAATTTGTAACTAATGACATAAAATGTGACTTATAAAATTTTCGATTTGTGATTTCGACATAATTTTGACCAATTAATTTGATAATACGTGATTAATAAATAAGTTGTGACCTATAATGATGTTCATGTGACCATTAATTGTATAAATGTGACCTCATTATATTTAATTAATTAACTAAAACCTGATTTTTAAATTGTGCATGGTTAGAACATTATTTGTAATTTTTACCTAATTTTTTTATCATCCTACTCGAACAAGATTCAAAAGAACCATATAGTTCATCTTTTTTGCAGTTTCAAAATAGTCACCTTGCCCACATCCAACTAGCATATGATCCTCATCTAGGATAAAAGTATATTTTGCCTGCAATATTTTAAAATGGCTGGACAGCTGGTGGCGTAACTTGTGTCATTGTTACATATATTACTACCTAGTATATAATTTTAATAAAATAGAATAGCTAAATAATGATATCCACTTAAAATATTACAATAAAATAACAATAAACATACATGTTGACATAATATAACGAAATGAAAGTGAAAATTGGTGGCTTGTCACTCTCAATTTCAATACATAAATATTCTTTAACATTACAAATTTGACACCTGAACCCTCAAATCAATACAATATTGTGAAAATCGTTCATATCATCTAATTATGAGACAAATTCTACAAGACTCGTAACTTATATACACCATCAAACCAGCACTTAGAGCTCTATCCATCTTCGAATGCAAATCTAAAACAGCTCAATTCAAGTTGCCCTGAAACATTCTATTATGCATCATTCGATTTTAATATTAAACTTGTTACAAGCAGTACAAGACGACCATGTTTCCAATCCACAACCTATTACTATTTCCATAAGAATTATTATTTAATAAGCTGAAAAATATCCACGCCAAAAGAAAATTGACAATATAAGATCTATAGAAGATATGCATCCCAATAAATGTAATAGAATGTGTAATCCCCGTACATGATCAGTGGCCTACAGCCCCAATTAGATAATAATGTTTTGTATTACTGAATTTATGCATACATGTTAGCTGCCTGATACCTACCTGTGTTAGTAAGATAATGGAAAAATTGATCAATTCGCATTTAGTTCAAATCACAGTCGACTAGTTATTATGTAGGTTAAACTGGCAAAAGGTTTTCAGAGTTTTAAGATTGGTCCCCAGAGTTTCAACATTCAGCAATGTGGTCCCTGTACTTCCTGATTATTGAAAATCGATCCACTAACGTTCTGTTTGGTACAAAATGGTCCCTAAACTTTCTAAGTAGTCAAATCAGACTATAAACATAAATAATTACTTTCAAGCAGAGATATAAATGCGGGACGGACTATCGAAGACTTATTATTCCTGAGCTGCAAATGGTCAAGAATGGCTCGACATTAACATTACATAAGCCAACTTAAATAGTCAAGTCCTCACAAGCTCTAGTAGCAAAAGTTTAATTGTTTTTGGAATTTATGTAGATAATCGATTGGAATCGTTTTTGGATGCCTAGGCATCCACCATAAGACTTTCCTTGTCGAAAGATTACCTTCCC